GTAAAACATTTCCCCATCTCTTAAATTTTCATCCTGCAACCCCTTTAATATCACTTAGCGTACTTCCTGTTGTATCTTGATAATAGTTCCCTTCAGTGCAGCTCAGATTTTCTCCATAAGCCATCAGCTTTCCATTCTCCCAAGGGAAACCACCTCCAGCTACCGCTTGGTCAAACCTCCGAGATACACCCGCCTGCCAGTTAATGAGCCTGTTTAGAAAGACGGCACCTCCAATAAACATTGATCACAAAGCCTAAATTCCAAGCACTCCGGGGGAAGCCATTTGTCAAGGTGATAATTTATTTTCCAGCACTAGATATGGTGTGTCGGGACTTGGGTTGTTTTCATCAGGCGAGCTGGGGCTCTGACAGACACCATTTCAGGTCCAAATCAGGGTCATAATGTGCAGAATGAAACACACAGAGCTGTAAATCACTCAGAACCAGCCGCAAATAGCTGAAAAGCTCACCTTCCAGTTGCTGAGTGGGCAAGGGAATAGTAATTTAGCAAGGAGATGTGTGGCACATTTCCTTTGTGCTTCGGTGTTCGGCTGAACATTAGTAGGGACACTGCGTGACTTATGGAAGGAGTAGTAGATTAAATGAAGGCCGGTCTCCTGTTTCCATCATGCTGACACGGGGTGCCCAATTACAGAGACGTGCCCCCGTGTATCCAGAGAGGCCAAGCACCTGATGGGAGGAAGTGGAAGGAGCAGGGGACACGCTGCTCGCGAGTAGGCGAGGCTACCGCAGTGCACCGCTGCTCCCGCGCTCTCTCAAGATGTTCCGCATCTCCCCCTCTAATTGGCAGATTGCCTCAGAAGCGAGATGATTTAATGGCCTGTGTGTGTGTATTTTCCTGCCTTAGTCAGCCATTAGCAGGGACATCTGTAACGAGTTGGCCGGGCGCACTGCTGAGAGCAGAAGCTGAGACCAACACTTTCTATTCGGGGGGGGGCAGCGGGGGAAGGGAGGCGGCGTGGTAGTGACAGACTTGGGCGATGATCAAAGAGCTCCGAGGCATTTCTCTGGGTTACAATAATCGAGAGATCTTGTTTGGAAATGTCCAAGGCAGCAGAAAAACCTGCAATCAGTTGTTAGATATTGTTTGCTTCCTGAAAGCGGTGTAAATCCAAACAGCGTGCTGGTTATCGATGGCGAAAGGGAAGGCTTTTTTTTTTTCCCCCCCCAAGCAAGAAATTTGCTCAAATTTGGCGCTAGCAGAACATATTAGGCGTGTGGTGTGCCTTTGAAAAACATTTGTATCTCTTGAACTTTTTGCACATTTTGTCACGCTATAACAAGAAAACATTGTATTTTGTTTTTTTTTTTTTTTGAAAGATAAAAGTAGTGCATAATATTTTGTGTGTGTTGGGCATTTAGATTCAGTTCCTACGTGTCGATGCTTGGTAGAACCACATTATGTTGCAGTTATCTCTGTAAGCTTTTCACACCTGGAGTCAGACATTTTTGCTAAAAGCTCCGTCAGATTGGATAACCAACTTCTTTTTCATGTCTTGCCAAAGATCCTGGAAGGAAATAGCTGCTGGAAGATGAACTTTCACCCCAATCTCAAGTTGTTTACACCCTCAAGTTTTCTTCCAGGTTTGTTCTGGATTTAGCGCCACCCATTTTCCCACCAAATCTGGCCTGATTCCCAGTGCCTGTTGGAGAAAAGCATCCCCACAGCATGATGCTGCCAACACAATTCTGTGAGACTGGAAACTTTTCAAAAACCTTTCAGTGTTTCAATACTGTCAGCAAAAACACAAAATCTTACTGAGTATTTTGACCCAGTTTCTAGTCCAAATATCTTAATACATTTGAAAAAAGACAAAACTAACTTATAATTCACTTTTTAGCGGGAAATCTGTTTTTTAAGTCAGTATTTCTCGAATATTAATAAAAAGTACTAGATCATTGGCAGATTTTTAAGTGAAATAATCTACCAGTGGAACTAGTACTTTTTATTTATCAGAGTTATTTACCTAAACCAGGCTCGCATATCTTGATAAAAATTTACTAGCAAGCAAGTTTTGTCCCGTTTCAAGAGTTCAAAGATATTTGCACTAGAAACGAGACAAAAATTCTTGGTAATATTTTGTTTTTGCAGAATGACAGGACGCCTGGTCAAAGACTGGAATTAGAAACGGTGGAAACTCAAAATTCCAGACGAACGGTGACAGAAATGGCAATAAAACTTAACTGAAACAGACAACAGTGGATGCTGCAGGACTTCCATGAGCTAATTTATGCTAAAATATGCATTTAAAATGTATGACTTCAGTAAATCCCGTCTGTATGACAGGATTGGTAATAAACTTCGACAAAGTTGCACGTAAACGCTGTGACAGTGCAGTTTCTGAGTGCTGTAAGGCTATCACAAGGTTGACAGCAAACGTTTACCTTCAAAAGTCACAAAAAAAAAGAAAAAAGACATCCTATAACTAAAATATCAGAAAATGACATTTTCACGGCTTCTGAGCAAACAGCTTGCCGTTAGAGCGATCCCATTTCTCGCAGCTGCGCTGAACGATGTGCTCACGGGTAAAACATTACAGCTTCAACCAAAGTTTGGCCTTAAAGGCTTCTGCTTTCTGGCTGCATATCACCACTTTCATTTCTTGCTCTCCCTCTCCTGGGCTTGTCTCCGTAACGAGGTCTGGATGACGAAGGGAGCCCCCTTTCCTGAGCGAGTGAGGCCTCAAATGGAGCTGTGGAGAAAGCTTTAAGGCCTTTTTGAAGCCTGACGGCCATCGGTATTCTTGCCGTAGCCTCGGCGGATTTCTCCGCTACCTGCAAACTGGGTCAGGTTTTGCATTATTTTAGAGATTTGTATCTCAGTGGGAGGAAAAGAGGAGCTTGTGCACATGCAGGCGTGCAGACGAAACACCTGCATTTTGTCTCCCTCCATTCTCCTTGTCTCCCTCTTTCACACATGCAATATTGAGCATAATAATATACGCACATATTTGTCACCCTAACGCATAGACATCAATTGAAAGCTGATAAATGAGCAAGCCTCATGTTGGGAAAATCATTTCAGACGGAGAATTTGCCAAAAGCCTTCGCCGACGTTGATAAGGAGCACTGATATTGATTACAGCACTCAAAAGCTGCGCGCTTTTACAGCATTTACATGCAACTTTGTCAGGGTTTATTACCATTCCTGTCATACAGAGGGGATTTACTGCAGTCATAAATCTTAAATTCATACTTTAGCATAAATTAGCTCCTGAAAGTCCTGCAGCATCCGCCGTTGACTGTTTCGATTAAGTTTTATGGCCATTTCTGTCTCTACTCGTCTCGAATTTTGAGTCACAGTCTCAAGATTTCCACCGTTTCTAATTCCAATCATTGACCGTGCGTCCTGTCAGGAGATGAACGGGGGACCAGGAGCAGATGCTGAGGGGCGACAATAATGAGACACCGAAGAAAGGTAATTGAAGAGGACAGAAAAACTGGTGAGACACCTCGGAAAAATAAGAGAGGGAAGAAAATAACCAAGTAGGAGATAGAGAGAGGAGATGTAGGAGAGGCCAGCATCTGAGGGGAATACAAATGGACAGACGTGGAGCACGGATGGAGGAGAGTGTGTGTGTGTGTGTGTGTGTGTGTGTAAAAAAAAAAAAGATGGATTCACGGTTGACTAATGAGAAGACAAAGAAACAGAAATCCACATCGATCCCTGACCCAGAGGACGACGGCTTTCGTACAGGTGTAAGCAGCCCGGATCGTCTGCAGGGGCTTACCTGAGGAAAGACACCAGACTTCTACTGGAGTCCAACAATGGGCAGGAATTATGTCTGCATGCTGAAAGCGTGGCAGGGATTCGTTCCTGCAAGTCTGAGCAGCCTTCAGTGGTTAACAACACGTCCAACTACAGGAACATGCATGTCATGTTGGAGGAGTCAGAAGGCTTTCGAAGGGACGGCCACTCCAGCAATGAAAGTCATGATACCTCATCGAACTTTCTCAATAGTGTCACCATGTAGACACACCAGGCATTACATTATGACCTAATAAAGCATCAAGGCATTTGGAGCTAACTCATTTTCCTTCTCAAATCCATTCCCAAACCAATTGGTTTGTTTGCTTACAAAAGTAACCTACAAATACCTCAAGGAACCATTTCAGGCCCCATAGTTTCTAGTAAAGCTGTTCACAATGTTCCAGAAGAGTGTCCTGATATTTGTCTGCTTTGTCTGTCAAAGACGAAATATAAGGAAATGCATCACCTATTGTTGTTTGCAGATCTATTTGGACTTGGTTTGTTCTGCAACGTGTGGCCTCATGTCCAGTTTTAAATCCTACTCAGTGATGCTCCTGTTGATGGTGTCAATCAAATCAACAATGTCTTTTCCCAGTCATTGTGTGAACAGCTACAAATATCACTGTTATTAATTTTCTACTTTGTATTTTCCTGAGAAATGTACAGTCTTGGTTCTAACTACTTAGTCCACAAAATGAACAGAAATAAAGACTTTGACTAGATCGCTCTGTATATTAAATCTATTTATTTTCCATTTTGAACTGCATGAAGTGTGGTGAACCTGTATGTTAGGAAACTACATGTCTACCAGAGCTCAAATGTGTTGTAATTGGTAACAGTAAGACTTTTCATTAAAAGATTGAAACAGAGAAGATTAACTATTAGTTTTCTTCCAGGTGTGTCCTGATTTAAGCCAAGGAGGCGGTATCTGGAGCACCACCTGCTCATTAATACTGATTTCTATATTGTTAGGAAATCTATTAAGACTTGGTTGACTTAGCAACAATTGTGCATCCACGTCAGGTGCTGTCTTTTTGTTTTTTTTGTTTTTTTTTATCAGAGATGTGGCATTAAAATTGTTTTTACAGTGTTTCTTTTTTTTCATCTCGTTACTAATAGATTTTGTGTTTTTCTTTATTATATTGTCACAAAACGCATCAGCCACAATCTTGCACACAGTTCGCAGCACAGGTGCGCACCAACAAAGAGCCGCATAGAGAGCTACTTACTGCAGGTTCGAGCTGTTCCAATACACCGCATGACGGCTGCTGGCTCTCGAAAGGTGCAAGTTTGTAAGCACCAGGGTGACGAGGCTGAGAGAAAACGTTACGAGAGCCATAATCCCTCCGGGTGCTGCTCCAACCCTGAATGGTTCCCCCTTTTTCCTTTTTTTTTTTTTTTTTTTTTTTTTTTCTTGGCTCCTTCTGTCCCAAACGACGCGTCGTTCACAACATCCCAGCGGTCAAAAGGAGCGCGTCTTCAACTTCAGCGACTTCTTCTTTCGGGATGCGTGTTCCTCAATTCAAGCCCCATCGCGACGACGGAACCCGCTCAGGCATCTTTACTTGAGCCAATTCTGCGTACTTTTAAGTCCGTCCTATTGTTTCCGAGCTCAGCGTTCATTTAAAACAGCTGGTAAAGGGGCGAAACAAGCCGCCAAATTCACATATATCGGAGTTTATTACAGGTTGGTCAGCTGTTAAAGTCACATCCGAGCCGCTGGATCTTTGCTGGGAGGTATTTTTGGGGGGTACCTGCCACTTCTCTCACTAGAAGCCGCAGCAGCAGCCGCACGCTGCGCACACAACGACACAAACCCGCCCTCTGATGGCAGAGAGGCGCGCACATGTCCGTCCGCTCATCCGCCACGCCCCCTCATCTCATGCACGGCGTGTGCATGGACTGTGTAAAATAATAATTTTCCTTCAAGTTAAAGCATATATATTTTTGCTCAAATTCAGTAAATGATTTGTAAAAGCTCTATCTGTAAGGTCTTCCCAGTCTGAACAGAGGTAAGGATTTCAACCAGTGATTGAATTTAAAATGAAAAGGAGATTATTATTATTATTTTTTTTTTTTTTTTTGGTGATTCTTTTCACAAACAAGAATGAAAAACGTCTGCGCTGCATCGCTAAACAATTAGTAATGAGATTTGAGGCTTTCTGTCGTTGCTGTCCCCAGTGACCATGTTCAGTGATGTCACACTCAGGATTTCCATATTTAAATGTTTATTAACAAAATAGTAATCATTAGCATAGTTTGATTTATTCAAGCACTTATTTGTGAAGAACAGTGAGGTTTTTCTCCACTTTGTGGCGCCTTAAGTTTATATTTTGTTTGTATTGTCTTCTTGTTGTTCTGTCTGTTTTTGTTTACTCTCAACCAGATTTGTGTCTGAATAAAAAATGATTGATTGACTGATTGATGTGAAACAACACTGCTGGCCAGAATGCTGTACACCAAGCCAAATAAAACAGACATAAAACAAAACAACTGAAACAATAAAACCAACACCTGAAGCTTTTTTTCTCCTGTTACTTTCGTGAACAAAGACATTTGGCTTCCACTAACTTTGTTTACTCTGCTTTATTTCACTTTGGATGAAGCCAATGATTGAGCTATTGCTGTCATCAACTCTCCATACTGTTGATGTTTAGCTGCATCTTTTCTAAAGAAGCTGTTGCTGCCAGTTACTCTGATTACTCTTTAGCAGAAAGTACCCCAGGCTCGGTGCTTCTCCTCTGTTTAGCTTTGGTTTTAAACGGATGAATTTGATCAAGCTGTTATTATTAACAAGACATTAACTCTATTAAATCTAACCATTTTTATTCTACACTCAGGTTTGCAACACTTTTATAGAGACTTTAGCTTCTTAACAGAAAAACTTTAGGTAGGGTAGGTTTAACAGAAGAGAGATTCCCGTTAAGGGTAAGTTATTTTGTCAAAGTATTTCTGAGAGAGTTTCGCTCTTCTGAATGTCAAGCCCGAACCGTACCGAGTTTCTTTGCCAGGATTTCACACTTACTGGGTTCGGACCGGCTGTACAAAGGGATATCTGAAAGTCTTGGCTGAATGTGCAAAGTGCAACACATACCTGACATAAATCTGATGCACATCAAGCCAAATAGTCCAACTACAGAAGCAAACACAAATTAAGAAAGAAATTCAGGTTAAATGAAGCAAACAACATTATTTCAATTGCATCAAATTGAAGAAGAATGTGCAGGAAAATGCTGAATATTTCACATTTGAAAATGCACCTGCACCTGCAGGGAGTTTAGTCATATTTTAATAAACTGGTGATTTTATTGATTACATTCTGTTCATTTAAAATACGTCCACTAAGAATGTGACCTGCAACCAGAACAGGATTAACTCCAAATGACTCAAACGTTTCGTATTTTCCTGGTTTTAGGACTATTACAGCAGTGCACATTTTGCGCCTGTGCCGCTGTAAAACACCGGTAACTTTTTTGCATTCTGTGAACATATGCACTTCTCTTCTCTTATTATCACTTCAGTGCAGCCACGCATAAAAAACAAAGCAAAATGCGCTTCCCTAATAACTTCTGGTAATTTTGAGGCTCGACCAGATTTAGCACATGTAGACAAACATACTAATTACATCCTCTCTCCTTTTGATATATCAGGGGGGGAATAAAATCCTTCCATGGCAACAAGAAAATATCTTTAAAATGCAGAACAGGCCTCACCCGCTGCTGTTTACTTTGGGATTAAGCTGAAAGAAGAGAATTTAAGACTAAAATCCTCTCTGGCTCATTATCCAAGGTTTAATCATTACGCTGTATTTACACATTGGCATGCTGTTCAAATGCTCGTCAACTGTCAGAAGAAAAAAAGAACATAATTGATACAGAAGCTGGTGGCAAATTAAGTGGATAAAAAAACAACATGATGCTGGTTAAAAGTGAATCTTCTTAGTGGATTTAAATGGAAACCAAAGAATGCCACAATGCTCATTATATCCACGTTGCTTCCAGAAAAGTGTTTGTGTGCTGAAGTCAGTCGGCGCATTCAGAAAGTCTTTTTCAAAGATTTGTTTTGTCTTATCAACCATCACCATGCTGCTGAAACAGTGGCTTTAGGATGTTGCTTTAAACAGCAAATATCACATCTTAGAGGGAGGAAAACGTCGTGATTTCTTGATATTTTTCACGCTGCTCTTTGCTTCACCCCTCCTGCTTCAGGCTGCCTGTTGATACGGGTCACGTTTCTCTGTAACATCTGAACTTTTTCTTGTTTTGCATCAAATGATGCATGTAAGATCAGCACAAAAACGTGTCTTATTTTAACAGCTCTTCATAGAACGAGTTCTGCGTTACACTTCCAATCGTCAGATTTCATTTGTTGCGCTATATTTGTTTCCTTGTTGTAATCCAACTTAAAATCTGTTGTTGTTTTCTCCACACAATTGTCTCACGTGAAAGTTTCTGCATAAGAATGCTTCTGGTGAAAGTTTCAGAGGATGGGGTCGCTTTATGAGAGTTTTCTGTAGAATATTCGTGCTAATATTCATCATGTTGGGGCTGGATAATAACTGGTCCACCCCAATTCAGCTGAGGTACATCAAGTGTGTTTTTAAAAAATCCGCAATTAATCGTGAGTTACGCAGGGCGATTGTGCAATTAATTGGGATTATTATTAGTTCAGAGGAAGAGCAGATCTGTCTGAATGTGCAGATGCATACATATACATTTGCTTTTAAGATTGTACAATATTGCTGATCCATTTGGTTGGGTAGATGCAAATAAATAAATACATAGATGTATATGCATCTACTTAAAGGTTTGCAGTTGTGCTGAAAACTCTCCAGTTATCCTCAGGGATTCCCCAAACCTGTTTGGTTTGAATTAGATTCTTCCCATCACTGCAGAAAACACTTTTGGATGCAACTGAAAGGAAAACATTTGGAGCTCCAGCATGAATTTCTTCTTCTTAATGACTTTCATCATGTGTTGGGAGATATAAACAACCGAATTAGAAGGAAATAAAATCAAAATTGATGTTTGAGGTTAGCTGGGATTAATGTCAGATTAATATTTTTGAGGAAATTAATGCTGTTTGCGGGAAGCCACTGGACGTGTAGTGATACCGAATGTGTTGGAGTGATTACACGTGTGTGTGTACCTGCGTGTCTGTGTGTGTTTAATAGCAGAATTTGCACCGGGAGAGGGTTTGAACATTTGGAGCCTTTAATTAACCTGCTTCATTTTGCCGCTGGTAGTTTAACCACTCTATCGATACTAATGGCGACCCGCCATATTAACAGCTCTGCTAATTTCAAATGTGAAACATTAGTCTTGGTTTGATTAACTCTGCTAATTCTGTATCTTATAACATTTTTCAAGGGCATGCGAGTGACATTCACACCCATAAATCTGGATACTGTTGGTTAAACTTTACAGGAGTGAGTCAGAACAATATTCTTTATTTGGCACGATTCTTCTTGAAAACATACTTTTTATATTTACATTGCAAGAAAACAGTAAAATGAAACTATTTAGATTACTTCAGAAGTCACGTAATTGCAGAAAATGTGGAAAAAGAGGCTCTGGACAAAGGAGAACATAGGTAAATATTTTTGAGCCATCAACAAAACACATTTTGTGGCTGAAAAATTACCCCAAATAGGCCATCCACACTGTGATACATGGTGGTGGTAGCATCATGCTGTGGGCATCTTCAGGAGGGACAGGGAAGCTGGACAGAGTTGATGAAAAACAACGGGGACTTCCAGAGTTACAACGGAAATGTTTTGCACAAATCTTTTATGTGTTATAATGGCCAAGTCAAAGTACAGACCCTGAAGAGAATCTGAAGAAAGAATGCAAATGGTCTCCATTCAACTCAACTGAGTTTGAGCTGTTTTGCAAAGAATCAGCAACAATATGATTCCCCAGACATGCAAAACTGCTAGACATAATTGTAAAACAGAAGAAAAAAACTCTGGTGTAAAACGTACGCCACACTTTCAGATTGCATTTGGTAAACCGTTGTGAAATCAAGTCATCATTTCCTTCGTGTTCATCTCTCACATAAGAAAATCCCGATAAAGTTCTTTGGTTGTCGCGTCAGGCTTACATGGCTCCCACTTTTTGCAGCTCCCGTTCATTTCAGTGCGACTACTTTGCCTCCCGTTTGCCCGCACTCTGTCTGCGCCTCTCTGTTGTTTTTGTCGGCGAAGACGCCTCTCTGGAGTGCCCTCCAGGCATGTTGCTGTGGCGACTGGAGTTAAAGGAGCGGATGAAATAAGCAAGTGCCATCACTCCCCCCCGCCCGCCCGCCATCTCTCACTGTCCCAACACCTATCTGTGCAGCTCCACTGCATCACTTCCCTCCATCTTCGCCACCATTTGTCATCCTTTTGTCGCCTCTCGCTCAGGAGGAAAGCGTTGCATATATGGAGCATCAATCCCACACTCCTTCATAAAACGATTATCGCGGTCTTCCTGTTGCGCACGCCGACCACACAGTTGCCAATAAAAGTGAGATGAAAATATAGGAAATGACATTTAATATGTTTCCTGAACCCGTCTCAAGCAGCAGAGGTCCAAATGCATATTTATGATGTGCTTTCTGAGCGTCATAAGTTATTGAGCACATTTGGTCTTAGGGGTTTGCACCACGTGACGCCATGCCTGTACACGCTTATTGCCTCTGCAGAGACACGCTTTGTATTTTGCTACAGGCGTTGGTTAGAGCCGTTCCAACCTCTCGTTACCTTGACCATGCATCTGTTTGTGATTAATTCATGAACACCAGCTATGGGCATATTGATTATTCAGATAATTTGTTCTCATCAATCAGCCTCGACACCTTCATAT